GAAACAATTTGTCCTATTGCGTAGTCATTTAACCAAAGGACAGAAATGGTTTTAAGTGCGTACTCCAACTCCAAGACCTAAGTTTGCTAAAACATGTAGCCAATTGGTTGAGTCTTTCCCTCTCTGTTCAGTAATTAAAGAATTGGGTAAGTTTTTATGATGGATAAAACCTGGCTATGTCTATCTGAATTAAGTCAATAAGATGAAACATTAAATGAACTGTGCAACAAACACTTTAAATATTCAACTGGATCTAACTGCTTATTTGCTACCAATTGAACTTTTTTTATTGTACAAACGGATGAAAGGGGCCCTGAGTTTTTAAGTAATATTATGTCTATAGAGTGAGTGTACAACATGAACATGAAATTTAGGAGTAAAATAACATTAAAGAAAGTATGTGTTGCCTTTTAAAACTGAAAACAAAAAAATCAAGTTTTAGCTTCAAATACAGTAATTTGACTAAAAATTACTGTAATTTGACTAAAAATTACTGTATTGTTAAAATTACTGAATTTATTTTACAGTAATTTGGTTAAAAATTACTGGATACATCCATAAACTGGACATCCTAAATGATGTGATTTGGTTCTAAAGGTCACTTCTATTTTACCCAGATTTAATCTGGGTTTTAAATTAAGTTTGAAAAATTAATGTGTTATGGTCACAATGTTCAATAGTATCATTACAAACATCACAGGAATAGCAGAAGTGAAATGTGAAGGTACAATAGATTTATTTTGGGCATAATTTTAATACACAGCGTACATCCTTAAGTACCTCCTTTCAAATGTATGTGCCATGAGATAAATTTCTAAGCTTTTTGTTATATGCACACTCAACTTTACTCAGTCTCTTACAAGTTAAATGAATGTTGTTACAGTCCAGTCTATGCTGCAAAACAAAGTTCGGTATTTCAAAAGTGGTCTACAAAAATGCTCATAGATAATATCTGATTAATGTACAGTTTGCTTTGAAAGCTAATCTTGAATTTAGTGTTTGATATAATATCTGATACAGAGAAATACGTAAACCATTGTTGTGGCTCAACTGTTAACACCAAGCTTGCTGCGATATGGATTAAAAATTTTTAATGGCAAAATGATAAAACAATCCTGTATCCATGGCTTTCTTTGTTATAACTAATGAGAATATAAAATCATAAAACCTCGCAATAGAAAATGTTAGATAATACAAAAATTAAGTGCCGATTTGTCCGTAGTCCCTTTGTGGTAACATCTTAACTCTCAAGTCTACCAAACTATTTATCTAGCTGGAGTAATGAATTTCAAAATGATGTAAAATTGAACGTGTTCTTAAATATAAGTGAAGTCATTAAAATAGGACTGAGGAGAAAGAAACTAAAGTAATGTATGAAGACCTGAAATTTAGATGTTAATTGAGAAGCCTGAAGCATACTGAAGAATAACAGGTTGGGGTGGGTAACCAAATGCTCCCACCCCCCATGGAATGAAAGAAAGCGATTTAAAATGAAACAGGGAGACAGAATAGATATGAACACTGTGCTGACAAGATTGTGTGCCAGACAACTGAGGGATAGGAAAAGTCAAACACAGAAGAAAGCAATGGGTGGAGCACTAGAGTGCCATGTGATTTCCCCATTTTTGTCTGTTATGCTGGAATTTGTAGAAAAGCCTTCTCTTCACAGTAACTTCTGTGTAATTAGCTCAAACAGTGCTTTGCTAGGTTTGCTTAAGACGTATGTTTAGGAAGGGATCATGTTAGGTAGTTTTGGGGTAGTTTACACAGTCCGTAATCTAAAAGTTAAAATGCAACTTTATCTGCTGAAAAGGAAATGCCAGTAAACAGTATGGATATTTAGATTCATCCCAGGACCAGCAGTTAGCGTAATGGCTATGTCGCTGGACTCCCACGTAGTCGACCGCGGTTCGAGTCCTGGACCTGGTGGCTTAAACTCACGCCGGGCACGTGTGCGTGCGTGCCCAAGATCCTGAGAGGAGAATGGAGGAGAAGGGATTATGGCATGGCCATCCCCCCCGGGGGGTGATTTCTCGGTTTCTGTCTCTCTGTCTGTCTGGCGAGTACACACACCCTATAGCAAAAACCTCTCAAAAAAAAAATAAAAAAAACATCCTAACTTTAAGGAGACAGCTGGGAAGGTAATATATAAAGCAATCTGTGAATAGTTATGTAGTAAGCTACATATAGTTGGTAGTGCAACAAAAATTTATGCAAGGTTGTAAAAGAATATAATGATCTCAAGTTCTAGAGTTAATGACTTTCAAGAAAATATTCATGTCCATAAACACGAAAAGGCAAATACAAAGTTTGATGAAATATTTTTACATTTTAAGTGACTTTTAAGAGGTATTTTAGAGACTAGAAAGTTCAGTATGATAGTTATAGCTTATCAGGTATTTCATTAGAAGCCAAATTTGGGAGAAATACATATTTTTAAAATTATTATTATTACTGTTATTAAATTTGCTATAGGGCACATGTGCTCACCAGAAAGAGGAAAAGTGAGGAATTTCCACAAGGCACCAGGTCCAGGACTCGGACTGTGGTTGGCCATGTAGAAGTCCAGTGCCATAACTACCACCTGTTGGCCCCAGGAGAAGTATTTTTAAAAACACCTGCTGGTTTTTAAACACAAACTTGAATGTTCCTTCCTCTATTTATTTTTACATTCAGAACCAATGCACATGTTCTGGAAAAAGTAGATACATAAACTGCTTTATAAAAAGGATGCTCCCTTTGTGTTCTTCCTACACCCTACTGATAATTCTCTAGATTAATATAATTTCTTTTTTTAAAATTTATTAATTTTATATACTATTATTATTATTTAATTTTCCATAGGGCATGTGCAGTCACCAAAGCAAGACAAAGAGAGAGAAAAAGTGACAGAGTAAGCCACCAGGTCCAGGACTCAAACCGTGGGTGGCCATGTAGGAGTCCAGTACTCTAACCATTATACCACCTGCTGGTCCCTAGATTAGTATAATTTCTAAGGTCACTTAAAGCAGAAATTTTGAAGATGGAGTCAAAGGACCAATGAGATTAAAACTGTAGTTAAATTAATTCCTTGAAATCTAATATGAAATCAATTTTAGAAAAATTCTTTGTTACCAACATAAGAATGTTAGAAGTGAGGTGAAATCACTTTAAGATTCATAATGGCAGACATAGGATTCCATTTTGTCTTGCATTAGTTATTGTTTCTCAAGCAACAATCAGCAGAGACATGTCCACACATTTGTTTGCCTAACTATTAAAATTATTAAAGTGTCTGGTTTGGCCCACATACAAACCACTGAATTTCTGGCAAAATATCAGCACATTACACATCCTGCCATACAGCACGTAGGCAGTATGGTGTGGGTGAAAGGGATGTGGAAAGAGGCCGACCCAGGCTCAAATCCGTTTTGTCTGTCATTAGACGTGGACCTTGCACAAATTACTTAACCTCTTGTAGGTCCAGTTTCCCATCTGTAAGTGGAAATATTAACCGTAATGCTCACACTGTTGCTGTGAGGATTAAAAGAGACAGTGCATGTCTATCAGCATTCACTATGTGCCTTCCTAACTTTTCACACTGACGACAGTAGGTTTTTTCCCCCAATAATGCATTTAGAAAAAGGTTTTAGAACTTATAACAAAATCGTTTTTGTCTAAAAGCAATTCAAGCTCTTATAATGACTTGACTCTGCAATACAATTAGTATTTTGTTAAGGGAACGTATACCAGACTTTGATGACTTATTATGATGCTTTTAATATTAAATCCAATGAAACAAATCTTAATATTTTTTAAGTGAATAGTTTTTTTTTCCCCAAAAAAAGGCCTCAATTCTTTTCGACATGCAAAATTTTGTGATAGCAATTAAATATCAGTTTTAAGAAACATTTATTATCAGGTGACTAAAGTTAGTGATTTAAGTCATTTACAGTGATTTTGCTTGGTTGTTATTACAAACAGATGCTAAAAAGTCTGATGTATAATTTAATTTAACATTTATTAGAATGATCTACACTTACTTTCTTTTACAACAATGCACTAAAATTGGGGAAAAATTATTCTTTTAAATATGTTTATGTGAAATGGAAAACTATACAGAATTCTTTTAATCTGACATACTAATTTCTAAAAGCATCTTATTTTTAAACATTAAAAAATGTTGGAAAACTTATAATTAATTAACTGGTCCAACTACAAAGTATAAGAAGACATACGATAACTCTTCTTCTGGTAGGAAAAGATCAGTTAGACCTCAAATGGTTATTTATCCTTAATGCTTTAACTGGAGAAGAAATATAATTTATTTTGATTCGAAGTTGTCCTGCAAATGTTTGAAAGAATATCTCGAAATGCATCTGAAAGACATTTAAAGGCAAGAAAACTAAGTGAAAATTAACTGGGAAAAATAAAAATTGTTACAAAGATAAAAGAATAACTATATGAAAAAGTTATATACCAGAAGACTGAAAAATATAGTTTGAACCAAGAGAGGGACCAATAAAACATAAAAGGTGGAAATTCTGGGCACTGGTAAGCTAATCTTAATTCTAAGGATTCAGAACTGTATTCAGTAACTCAACCGAATAAATGGTAAATCTCGCAAACTAACTCATAAGATAACAAGAGATGACGTAAACAAGAGAAGGCTTAGGTACAAGTTGTGTCACAAATATTCTGGACAATAAATAGGGAAATGTAGGCTCTCTTTAGTAAATTGATGAAAATAGAGACATATGAATGAGAAAATATTGTTCAGGAGATAAAAAACAAAATCAGGGATCTGAGGATTTTTCTCTTAAATTTTTATCTCCCAGAAAAATCTGAAACTTAATTACTTAACATCTATTAAGTACCCTTACCATCAAAAAAAAAAAAAAGTGAGATCTTTGCAAATTGATAGAAAATAACTTATATTTAGAAAAGAAGTCTCTTATTTGACAGAAAGTGCTTTATTTAAAAACAAAAACACATAGAGGTTATTTTCAAGATTATTAGCAATAGAAGAAGCAAAGATTTAAGAAACAATTATGATTTCAAGGATGTGTTATCACTAAAAGTATACTCTAATATAAATAACACATGCTGCTCACATATCAAAGATCATGTGACAAACTGGCAAAAGGAGAAATTATAAAAATAAGATTAGCAAAAAAACACACAGTTTTGAAAAGATAGAGGTCAAGTCTCAGTCTGCTCAAAAAAGGTAGGTCTGGCAGCGACCCTTCTATCCGCAGGGATTTGACATGCCAGATGAACGTTTTTTCCACACAGTGTTTTAGGTCATGGGAAAAGGAATCATTTTCAATTGCTTGGGAACAGAATAAAAAATACTACAGGTTCAAAACTATTTTGAAGTGGTAATAAACAGGAAATGTAATTTTATTCAAGCCCAAGCTGAGAATTCAGAGAACAGAGGTTGTAACACTACATGGTCTTAATCATCTACCTATTTAAAAATTCCACATAAGTGTAGCTCTGTAAGTTTTCTGATAAAAATGTATTTCTTAAATAAATGAATACGGGCTATGAACAATACATAGAAAAATAAAATAGAATGAAAATGCCAAATATTTTATTTTCTGTATTTTGTTCTATGCTCTCCTATGAACTTCCAAAACCAGAACCAAATATGTTTATTAAAATGCCTGGAAGGAAATGCTTAGATTTTGGAAGGTTAGAAGAAATGGCATTTCAAATTAGGTTTTGGGAGTTCCTCTTTAGAGCCCTTAGAGATACGGTTTCTGCATCTCCATGATAAGGAGACAGAAAGCAAGAAATCAGGTAGCTGCTTTCTTCTGTGCAAAATTCATTGTCATAGATCTGACCTACAAAAAGTATCAGAGATGGGGAAGAAAAATGTTCGTATTATGGAAGAATGTGTGCCCTGTTAGGAAGAGAGCTTACAAAAAAGCTTATTTGTGGCCTATATACTATTGCACATTTAAACAAACACAAGAGAAAAGAATGTCCAACAGGTAACATATCCAGAAACATATCAACATATAAACTAGCTTGTGCCCAGAATAAAACATGGATACCAGACACCACTGCAGTTAAACCTGTCTTCATCTGCTTCTGTTTTAATGACCTTTAGAAACTGGTCCAAACTGATTATCAGCAATACATTGTTTTTGCTTTTTTTCTTAAAAAAATATTTTGAGACCACTTTTGATACACACACATATAATTCTGTGGTCATAACAGACAAATATAAGTTTAGCGAGACTAAACAAAAGTGCAAAACTTAAAAAAAAATTAAAAAATATGGAAGCATAAGCTAAATTTTTCTGCATAGCTGAAATCTATTTAAAGCAAGTCCTTGTTGCAGGGGTGGGAGGAGGTGCTGACAGGAAGATAAAGCAGTTTTTAAATTTTTTTTAAATGTCTTCTGCATGTTTAAATGATGCAAAAAAATAATTTCACTCCGTAGGCTTGAAAACATTTCACAGGCAGTTCATTCCTATATCTTTAGACACCATGGTTGTGGCAGTGCCTCCTTCTGCAAGGTAAACAGCAGTGCTGGACTTAGAGTGAACTGCCCTATCACTGCCATTGTTGTTGACTTCACAGTCCAGTGGCTCAGTGGAGATGACCCAGGTGGAGGGGCGCCACCGCTTAAGAGAATAGGGAGTTTTCACACGTTTCTTAATCTTTTCACCTGATCCTGATTTGCCATCTTGTGTTGACTCACCTACCAAAAATAAAAGCACAGAAAATGAATTTATATATATATATAACTTATATATATATATATATATACACAGAAACTAAAAAGAATAAAAGGCTAAGGCTTTAATTCAAGAGCAGGTCAAACCAATGTGAGCAGAAGGTACTAACAACATTTCTTATCATTTGTAATACTAGGCAATATTTTTCTAGGCAAAGCTTAATCAACTTAATTTTGAGACTCTTAAAGTCAATTTTTTAAAGGAGAGATTTTTGCTATAGGGTGCATGGGACTGCCAGAGAGACAGAGACAGAGAGACAGAAAGTGAGAAATTACCCCCCAGGGGAATGCCACACTGCAATCCCTTCTCCTCTCGGGATTTGGGTATGCATGCACACAGGCCCAGCGTGAGTTTTAAGTGGCTGGGTCCAGGATTTGAACTGTAGTCAACTACTACATGGGAGTCCAGCAATGCAACCATTATGTCATCTGATGGCCCTGTCAAATGTTTTTTTTTCTTCTTTTAATGACTTTTCTCTCTCTCTCTTTTTTTTAAATTTAGCTTTATTTATTTATTTATTTATTTATTTATTTTTAATTTGACTAGAGAGGAAAAGAATGAGGAGAGAGAGAAAGTGAGAAAGCAAGCCACCAGGTCTGGGACTCGAACCGTGGTCGACCATGTGGGAGTCCAGCGCCCTTAACCACCAGGCCACTGGCCGGCCCCGAATGTTTTTTTTTTTAATTTTTTTTATAACAAACTGAATTATTCTACAGAGCAAGAAAGAAAATAAAAAATGCAAAAACTAAAAACAAGAAAAAAATTAAAAAGCTAAAACAAAAATCAAAATTCTCAGCTAAGTCTCTCCTAACTCGGTAGGATTATTCCACTGCTAAATGCTCAAAGTGAATCAGTTTTCTTTTGTGGAGAGGTTCCTGCTATAGGGCGCGTACGCTCGACAGCAAGACCGAGCCAGAGAGACAGAAACTGACA